CCGCAAAATAGTCAGTCACATGCTCCAAACTGTTTCGGTTGGTAACACTGTCGCTTTATCGAATGACAAATGATTTCGCAGAAATGCTCATGGTGAATTCATGTCAGTAAAAAGTTAAAGCATTGTGGATTAGATTAAATAAAGTATAATTATATAGTTTACACAGAATGATAAGTTTTGTTATTGGTAATATTTCGAGCAAAATTACTGCCTGTGTTCACAGCACTGTTGGAATTGTTTTATTCACACAGTTATGATTTATACTTATATATAAATCATTATTTCTTTTGCTCATTCATGTTTTTGTATTCAGAATTATATTCCAAGTTGTTGATAGTTGTACTGAGTCACCCTTGTTACATGTATCCGGTGTGACCTTAATGAATATAGATTCTGTTATAAGTCTCTCTTTCCATTTGTTCATGTTAGTTTTTAGAATATACACATTGTTCCAATCGATATTGCGGTTTTTGACCCATGCATTAGCAGCTGTTGATGGTTGTTTATCAAGATTCTTGTAGGCTTGTGTTCCTGTTGGTTGACCTTCGGTTAGGCGTTTATGTTCATTCACTCTTATTTTGAGTGATCTGGACGTTTGCCCACATATTTAGTCGGACAGTCAGCGCAAGATATTCTGTAAATCAGATTGTTTTTATCCATCATTTTTATGGGATCTTTCAGTTGATTTATTTTATTTTTGATTAGATTTGTCGGTTTAAAGGTTGTTCGAATGCCGATATTTTTTGAGGTTTCTTTGTATTGCCTCTGATGTACCATTTTTATATGGTATTGTAACTGTCTTTTTCCATTCTTCTATCTTGTTATCTTCCGGTTTTACCCCCTTTTTTCTCTTTTTTATATTATTATCGCCTACCATGCACATGGTCCGAGGTTCGATCCCCTGCCGACGTATACCTGATATCTATGGTCGGCCAGCAAAATTTAGGCTACCGATATCCACGCTGAAAATTCTATACTTGCACTAAAAATACAAAGTGGAATCAAGCTGTAGTCAAAAATAAAAAAATAAAATAAATTCTTTGAGGTAGTTGTTTTTGGGTAGCATTTTGAATAGGACTTTTATTTCTTTACACTGGTCCTCTGGTGTTGTTGTAAGTCTACGTATTCTATCTGCAAGACCTTGTATTAATCCTCGTTTTACCGTGAGTGGAAAATGGTGAACATCCTGAAATGCAATTCCTCATGTATTCGTCCTTTTCTCTTATAATGTAGTATAGAGAAATGTGAATCGAATATTTAATCTAAGGAATGTTGATTTTCAGATGGTGAAGACCCTTACAGATTTAGCTTGAGATTCACAGAAAAATGTATAATAATCGGTCACAGATGTGATATTTTCACCTGTATTCCAAAAAACCTCAAACACTATACAATGTAATAACGTGTTATATACAGAGAAATGTTATAAGTCGTTAGAAGTGGACCTGCTGTTCTCGCAAAATAATACTAGATTAAGGTATATTCTCACTTCTAATTCAGCTCACAAGAATATATAAATGATTACTCAACTACTAATCCAAAATCGAGAAATGCATAGAAGAACGTCTAATATGAGAAAAACAATAATTACTCCTAGGAGAAAGTATTACAACAATAAATTACAGGCAATTTTACCCTTCTTTCACATAAACAATAGATTGCTAGTTTAGGAGAAGCAACTCTATGTTTCGAAGTAATGTGTAATCCAGGCACAGGGCCGATTGTTTCGTCTACAGGCCATGTGTCTAAAAAGATGTTGCCAACCTGTCCTAACAATGAATAATTTATCCTTCAAATTGATGTCAACCTATTCACATGTGCAGCTGGTTATTCAGACTGCAAACATGGCTGAATCTAATCACAAGCATGATCAGTCGTGATGACAGAGTCACCAGCCGATATATTCCTCTGTTACGCTTCCTACTCTTTATATGAATATAACAGCCTATTCATGTTTATTTACACAAAGTCTGGTTGTATATACTCCTTTATAACAATGGCTTTTGTTCTCAAGTGGTTACGCCTAGAATATGCGATCACTTCAGCCATATTTTTCTGATTATTAATGTTGTTTCTAAATTATTCACAAGCCTAAGTGCATAGTTTACATATTCAAATTTTCTCAGTGAGAATAAAACGTTCAAATCTATTTCACATCGTAGGACTTGACTCATGGTTCAAAGGTTCTAGATTGACTTATAACAGCAACAATAATAATAATAGAATGAATTACACTTAAAACAATTTGATAAATAAATTTTAGTGTTACCATGGTGAATACAATTATTTTCACACGTTTCACATAACAAAATATACACATCAATAGTAGTGTATTTAGGCTTTCGTAATTATTCTTAAGACAAATGAGTCTCTGTGTTTCTGTTTTAACTAAGGAGGAGATAGTTGGAGCTACTGTGATTTGTCACTGATATAAGTGGAGACTTTGTTGGAAGCATAGTTTCTATAGTTTGGTTTGTAAGGATTAGTTATGTTTTACGGGTTGATCACGGATTGATATCAGTTAGAGAACCATTGAAAACCAGGGAGTACTGGACAGCTGCTGTTTCATCCTAGTTTGGGAATCATCGGCAGTACGCACCCACTGGGATTCGAACCCGGGACCTTCCGGTTACAAGGCAAGCTCGTATACCATTCAGCCACTGGGACCCGATTCAATGGCTCGTGAATTCTAACTTCTACTAATTCGTGATTTTAGCGCGACCCCAACCATAGTTACCACGAAATAGAATGCTGTAGCTATCGTTTTGAATAAATCACAGTCGTCATACTCTGATGTTCTGTTGAGGATGGCGATAGGTAATGTTTCCATGTCTTCCGTGTGAAATATGAGACTTCAACAGAACACCTACAACTTGTCCTATTTTTTTCTCATAAGCTGTCATCCCCTCGTCTCACGTTCTCCTTTTTGTCACCTTCAAACACCTAACTTTTCCTTTTCCATTCGAGTTCCATTCCAAGGCCTTTCTTGAGATATTCTTCAACGATGTCCTCAGCGTGTCTGATCCATCTACATTTTCATGTGAATATTTATTGAGCGACTTGTTCTCGGTCAGTTTGTTACCGCAGTCTAATGCTGCAAATATATTAAGACTATCTAGCCTTCAATATGGAGCAAGAGAAGGCGGTTGTTGATAATAGTCTGCTGTATTCTGTTGAAAGTACCACTCACGCTGGATAGTGAAGAAGCAGTGACTGACTTAAAATTGACGTTCGAAATCACACTATTGCTCTTGATGCTGAATGCCACATATTTTGAAACTGATTTCATGGTGATGATGGTCTGTCTTTACTTCTCGATTGTGGTTGTCTTCAACACTCTCAACCGTGTTGTTTGTCTACGATTCAAACGATGCTGCTTAGATAAGGCAATCAAGTGACTTCTTTCAAATTTCTCTCGTTGGTGATGCTTGGTGTTAATTGTCTCCGATTGTCTCTTGGGTGTCTTCACCACCTCCATCTCCCGCGTCTCCCTTTGAAATCCCGTCTTTACTTCTAGCCTTTCCCGCTGAATTGATGATTTTCTCCAGTATGTTTTCAAGTTTGTGTGACATTAGGGATAGATCATCAGAGAAGTCAAATTCTCCTAAAGCCTTCTTATTGGTGAAGCGTATTCCTGGATTGTCGCTCGCCACAGTTCCCACAGTCCACCACAACTGGAAATATCACCTTGAATAGTTGGCAGCCCAGTCTTACTCCTGTCTTCATTACAGATGTCTCGATGAATTTTCCATTGCGAATCACTCGACTCGTGTCATTATAATGTAGTCAGCTGATGAATGAGGTTGATAACGATTTAGGTAATTCATAATGTTGAAGTAGCTTGCAAATTACTTTGTGGTCAACACTGTGAAACATTTTTGCATAGTCATCAACTGACGCCTAACCAGTCGCTCTCAAATTCATTTCATTTGGAGTTATGCCTGATATGCAATGTATAAATATAACTATACTTCCTATTCATCAGAACAAAAACGCGATTATCTATTACTGCGGCCATATTAAAGTAAAATAATCTATATGCCTGCTAGGAAACACTTTCTAGCGCTGAACCAATGGTCATTTGCTCTCCAGTAACTCGAGAGTTCCATATTTGCTTCTCATCCGATACGTGTTTAGAAGATGAAGTTTAACAACCACCTATGTGCACGGGACTAAATAATCCAGCTCATATAAAATAATTATACTGAAATCATTCATCTCACCTACAAATCGTCTGCTTTATATGTAAATCGATATCAGCATAGCAACGAAACTTTGCGAAAATAAAACACTAACACCACAGAAACTTCAAAGCTTGTACCCTGTGTCAAAACCGGGACGGAATATGTGAGAAAATACATCTGGACAATATCTCTTTCAATTATTCAAATATTTGTCGAAGCTGTCAAAGTATTCATTTGAAAGATTTCATACTCTGTGCCTTTCATAACGTTCTGATATTATGGTAAGTTGACTGTCAGTGTGCCTCTCATCAACTGAAGGTGAGTGCATTAGCACTTGTCGTATTCAATGGTACTTGTAAAACACATTCATCTGATTGTGAATGAACCGTTCAGTGACTGTAGAACACTTGGTAGTAAGCAAAGATTTGGAAACTGTGAGACAATCAGATGAAAACCTGAAAGAGAATCCCACTGATATCAGAAATCATTAAACAGAATTATTCAGGGACTATTACGAAGACGAACCTTAAAAAAATTGAGTCGAATTCACATTACCAAGTGCTACAGTCAGAGGTGTCATTTCTCGTTTTCCACGACCACCAATGGACTCCTGTGGAATGGCATGCAATAATTTGATTTTCTTGGTGTTCATTTATCGATGCTGACTGAGTTCTACCATCACAAACTGTTCAAATCGAAATCATTTACTCACATTCAGTGGTGAAATCGGTAGTATGCATTTCAAGTAGATTATGTGGTTTCAAAAGTGTAAATGAAGAAACTGACATGCAAAATAAGGAAATATATTCATGTGGTGTTCAATGTTGAATACTTCATGTACAACAACAAAACAAGAGGTTGTTGAAATTTTCTTTCACTTTCGCTTCACATACAGGAGACATAAGCTGAAATAAAGCAAAACCACTTCCATCCAAGTTAGGAAAGCTGCAGAAAGTGGCATTTCGCTAGTTATCTCAGTTCCAGTGTATTGTTGTATAGTTTGTCCAGTCAGATATAGCATCTGTATAACAAAAGTGAAGTGAAATGAAGTAATGAGATATTAAATTGTGTATATATGATACAATACACAAAACATCAGTCTAATCAACCATACTGAGATCGTTTAAATACATCACAACCACAATGGTTATCATAGCAATTCTTTGAACATTGATGTACTAAAATCGCCGTTTTTTCTGATGTCCAATCTTAACAGATTCAAATAAATTGAGTAAATATAAGAGTTAAAAAAACAAACATGAAATTTTTTCTAATGACTGTTAAACACATGTAACTTACTAATATCAGACTCGAAGCGCAAAACTCTCCGAATACTAGGTCGCGAATGTTTCTCTAGGAGAGAATGGAAAAAATTATTGTATCAGTTTTAGATAAAATATGTCGTGTTGCTATATCTTGTACGTGAAATTCTCCTCAGCATATTTCCCTGGCACTCACTGTTTAATTACCAATTCTCTATATTGTTTATACAGTCAACTATTCATTTATGTTGAAATTCAAATAAAAACTACCAACCAACATCAATTTTACAGTGATTCACGATTGAACTTTGAGAGATTCATGAAAATACATTAACACCATTCAATTGTTACATCTTGAAGACTTGGAGGGAATGATCGGATATCTGAAATAATGGATTTCTAAACTCGCAATTATATTTGCAACCACTTCCAGAGATAAGTATTCAGTAGGTACTCCAATGTGATAACACTACTATCACCCAGATATTAACAATAACGCCAATACTGTATCACTGATTGTTGTCACACCAAGTATGGCGTGAAACACACATGACGTATTGATCTAGGCTGACATTCAGAGGTATCCGTCAAGCGATATTTGACCGTTAAATCCTCTAAGTTTCTATATGGAACAAACAAGCTTGAAAACACCAGATTTCGAGTTAGCTGCTTAGAACAAATAAAGTGTTAAATTCAAAGTCTACTCACTTGAAAGAAGTGTAGAAAAATAAACAGAATACCACTGATGACCACTAATTCGATTGCAACATACAGTATAATCATTAACACTTTTTTTGTGTGCCGTTCTACTGTATATCCGATTGCGACTGAACAGACAGCAATAATTATTGCTGAAGACCATGCTAGTAGTGTCCAGAGTCCAAGGACTTAGTGAAAGTGGCGGCGACAAAGAAGATGAGAACACCTGTAAGGTTAAAATTTCATGGTAAGTCAGTTTTTCCAGAATAAATATTCACGTCAATATGGTCATGGTAATTTTCATGAGAAACGTGCATCTATGAAAGCCTTCAATGTGTTTTCGATTTTAAATTTTCAAAAGTTCGGAAAGTGATCCCTCGTTGCTGTGGGTGCGGCAAACAATGTAAATGGCATAACAGGTCTCCGGTGTAGTGGAACTCAATTTATGCAGCCGTATCTAATGGAAAATATTATGTAACAGTAGGCCTAACTAATGTGGCTTTGATTCAAACGAATATTTAGTGTGCTCACCCTTCAAGGTATTATATTTGAGGACATTTCAAGATGTTGTACACTATTCAGTAACTGATGAAGGCATAATTGACCAGGATATTCAACGTGAATTCTTTGTGGCTTGACAAGAGATTTTCTACATGTGACACTGTAAAAAATTGACTAAGTACAACCTACGCATTCACAGCGTGCATACAATTAGTGATAGGTCGTCAGTCCATTCACGAATCGGAAATAACGATCGAAAACTGATTTATAGTTCATTTACTAACACAATCGTGTGCAGCAGTTGTGTGTGGCTCAAGGATTATGGTTAATTCAACAAGTGATCTTCAATGTATAAATTCCTGTGCACTTCTGATGGAAGCTAACTGGAAATACAAATGAATAAAAAATAAATGGTAAGGGGCATGTGAAAAAGATTCCCATACATTGTGTGAGAACTCTTCTTCTGATCTACTTTCATTATGGTAGATTCAAAATGTATTGTGAATAGACATTCAAAAATATGCATTATATTCACAAATGTGGTGTTCAACAAATATTGAGGAGCGGAATTTATATTCATCTATGTAAAACACTTTTGCACAGTGACACTGATTCGAAGCAGAAAGCTCGATGGACAATACCAGTACATTTTTCTGTTCAGTAATTCACCCATCTTCCTATCCTTAAAGAAGATATCAATCAGTGCTAACAAGTTTTAGTTATTTATAACCTGTACTTCGTCCATATAGACTAGAAATGCTACTTCAATCTAAAATTCATGCATATTTAATTGTTTTCAATGATCGGCGCGTTTCATGAAAGTAAGACACATACAAGACATGGCAGAAAACTGAACTTACAGTCAATGAAATGAGTACATAAGTCATCACAGGAAATTTTTGAAAATTCTCGAACAGAATCAATACTGCCATGGAGATTACACCAACAACTCTGAAGTAAGAATAGGGGATATAGTTAGTCAGCATACATTAAGTGATAATAAGCACATCAAAAACCCTGCAGTAACCCTTTCACCATATTAATGTCACTGATGGTGTTCGAGTACTCATGTAATGAAGACAATACATTTCATTATTGAAGTCAAACATTTGACTAACTTTCGACGAAGTTTCGAAAAACAGAAATAATATTTATATTTCAAACAACTCACAAAGAGGTGATTGGCACGTATAGTATATAAAACACATATTGAAGAACTCCCCTAAAAACAAAGAGATGCGTAGGAAAGTTGTTAAAATGCAGCCTTACACATTCGCTACTAATACCGTGATTATCACCGTCACTGCCACCATTATACAACAAAAGACGAAGTACTTGAAAGAAATGTAGATATTTTCTTTTAGTTTTCAATAATAAATTACATACCACTTCAATAAAGCTTGTCTTGGAATGTTCCTCATCGATTTCCTCACGGAGTGAGGTGTTGTCAATATTCTCACCAACACTTGATGTGTCTTTCATGTCCACTACTTTCAAATAAATGCACAAATTTGACATTTAGAGTGATAGTTACTTAAAATATTTGAAGGGGATAGCAAGTCACTTTTACAAAATACACACACGGAAATAAATTCTTTGTAAAACTGAATATAAATAAATATTTCCAGTCAACTGTAATGATATTTCAGTGTAAAGGTATGAAATCAACGCGTCGAATACCACTCTGACATACTTTGTTCTCCATTTCATGTAAACCTAAAACGATTTTCATTAACTATCTGTTGTTGAACACCTTACGTGAACACACAGGTGATATCAATTTAGTGGATGATACATTGCTCACTGTGGATATCAATTTACCTTAGCTCAAAAACAATTGAAGTACAATAAAACAATGTTACCTCAACAGATATCAACGTGAAGATGAATCGAGAATTTTCTCTATATAACCATATCGAAAAACAAGTGGTTTCGTGTGTCTGGATTCATTCATTTCAATGTTTAAATCTAGTGATCAATAAAATGTACCTATGAGAGTAGAAACTGATGTGCTCAGCAAAGTATAACGTGTTCCGTATCCACCTAATTAATTTGTTTGTTTGTTTTCTACTTGATAAACTGATCAATACCAGAGGATAGTTAAACTTTCATTATTTCATATTCACCGATTAGAATCACGTTGTATATTTATTCATTTATACGACACAGTGATAGGAGATCGATGACTGGATGACATTTCGAGCTTATTTTACCTCTCACAGTAGTGCCAATTAACGCATGGCTTTTTAATATGCTTTACACATTTTTGTTGTTCTTCTTATTAGTCATTTTAATTTTTCATATATCCGGTGTAGGCCTAAGGTCATTTTGACTGAATGAATTGGCTTTTGATTCAGTGAACAAAGATCCAGTGGCTGAAACTTCTCTTCATATAAAAATATCACATTATAATAGTTCACCCAACCTTAGGATTTTGTGTGAATAAATGCATATGAATGAACTGTATTGACCCGAATATTTTGCACATCGCTTATTTGTATCCAGTTAAATGTCTATCTCACGGTTATCTTAATGACTTTGATCTATTAGTTTCAACAGTGTAACTGACCTCATAGTCGTTATATCATTTTCTGTGAATTCTATAATTTTTCCTAATTGCATCTTCCCTGTCTCTGAGCCGACAACTTTATATCTGCGAAGGTTGGTTGCTCTAAATACTTCATTGGGAATTCTGTTTCTTTCCCATATATATAGCAGTATTATCCACGCTTTTAATGCCTTATTTCCTATATTATTTTCCAAATTTTCACTACCAGGTATATTCTGCTTATTCGTCTTTTTACATTTTTGAATAAAATGCTATGAGCAGTTATTCAATATGACTTTCTTCTTCGTTTGCTTCATCGCATTATTCAAGACATCCGGTCTACTATTGGTTTCTTGGCACGATCAGATAGACAAATAACCAACCTTTACCGATTCAGTCTGAGCTGAGTCAAAGTCTGATTATCTACTAGAATTTACTGGTTATGTATCCCGTTTACATGTTTTCGCTGCATTATACAATACAGGCCAGGCTAACTCACAATATTTGTCCATTTTACAACTCACAAATTATATACACAACTCAACAATTGTTTGAAAATGATCTAGGTAGTGTTTGCGCGTTGTTATAAAATGTGACCAATTTATCTGATAGTCGAACATAGTATTTCAAAATAATTACTCAACGAAACAAAGACGATTTTCAAATTCTACGCGTAGTGTATACCAGTAAACTTAGGCTTACAATTTTTATTCTCTATTTCTAGGTGGCTTTATACATAATTTTCAGAATAAAACAGTTTTAACGAACAAACTGGGTGTCAATAAATTCTTCTTCAGGCTCTATAATAATAAATCCATCAATTTAAGCATACAACAGCCAGTGAAGGCAAATCAGAATCATCTGAGAAATGGATTTTGGGATAGGTATACTATGGGATGGAACAATAGTCAGTTGGTTTTGAATATGCAAAGTCAATGAGAACATGATATAAGCTGAGATGGAATAATCTTCTGATGTATGTATATTTGTAAATATATTCAAAAAACAAAAATACTGCTTTCAAAGGCAAGTGTATTGAGTCGCGTGTGAGACAATATGAAATATGACAATACTACAGAAAATAAACCAACTAATGGGGTGGACTAGACATAAGTTCAAAGTTGAAGATAAAGACGTTAACAGTGACTGTAAAATGATAAGGACGATGTGGTGCAAACTAGCACGTATTTTTTCGGTTAAAAATAATGAACAAAATAATAATCTCCATGGTGTGATTTTGACAAAATGATGAGAACACAAACGTATTTAATACTGTCAAATGAGAGTGTATAAGAAATGTATAGTCATTCAAAACATAAGATGACGTGTGAATAGACAAAGGGGTGACATATTAATTTATTTATAACCAACGGAATATAAGTTTCATCGCGGTGTGTTGATGAGTTATATACAATGGGTACCACAATATACACACAAATGAATACCAAAAAGTTGGGAATACCGAATGCAAGGACTGAAAGCAAGGAGTGACAGATATCAAGTGTAGCAACAGGTTAAATTGTGAACTGTAATCAAATACTAGAGACATAATCAGCCTACTGAACAGACAGTCAAGTAAACAATGCAGTAATGTGAAAAGGAATAAAAAGGCATAGCATGACGTGAAAAATAGGTATGCTTATGTCTCTGCTGACCCAGGGTAAACAAAGAGGATCACTCATTGTAATAGTATTATTCACGTGAAGTCATTTCATAGAATATTTACTGTTAATAACGTTTCAAAGTGTATTTCAAGCTCTTTGAGACTTGAATTTTCTTAACACAGATTCTTTATTTCAGAAGTGGTTAAGTTTTCTCCCTAAATTAATGATTCAGTAGAATGCACACTGATTCACTTGTAATCATCTGACTTTCTCACAACTCATAGCTACCAGCTGATGCAGATTTCTGATAATCACGGGACCGTTGCAACCGCATCTACGGTACATTGGGGAACACTATTCAGCCTACTATGACCTCGGCAATTTGGTAATATTCAATGTATAAATATTCAAAGTTGTGCAGTTAAAATTCAACAATGAAGTTTGTGCAAAACGCCACACTATCTCCCTAAGTGGCATATCTCATAAACAGACAATTACTTTGGTTTGTCTGATGAATACATTTCTGATGAGACTTGAAATAAATATATCAAGCCTGATGATCATTTTATCTCAGACTTTGTGTTTCATGTTGGTATTTTTTAATGATATGATTAGAGATAGAGAGAAAGGTATTCATTAGAATGTGTTGGAAATAATTCCTAGGCTAATATATTTGATGATGGAGGTGGGGTAAGATGCATTCATCATGTGTAACAGGATAGTGTATATCTCGTTATTATATCTATGTCAAGAAAATCTGAATAACTGTCAAGCCCATTAGAGTGTATGCAGAAGATGTTGTTGTTCAATTATATGAACCATCGCACAGAATAATTACCACATCGAAAAAATGTCCACTTCAACTTCGAAATCCTCCTCATTGAGTTAAAAGAAGATCACTGTACACAATTCGCATAATGACTTCTAAGAACTTTGACTAAAACTTACCCAATGGACCCAGAAATATTGTGCGCCCAGTGAAGCAATAGACGTGTGCAAATTATATTTCCATTTCTAATTTCATATCAATTATCTGAATCCCAACATATTGATTTGTAGACAAACAATATTCTGTACTATAACTTGATCATTTTGCTCTACAGTTTTGTGTGTGTAATTACTGAAGGGGTATTCTCATTGACACGACTGCATCGAATCAGTTTCTTTAGGATTTATACCAACATTTTTGAAATAGGACGTAGAACTTGTTACACGATTTAAAACTTCAGGACGCGTGATACCTTGTGTATTCCGTTTCAGATTATCTGATAACAACTAACAACTGTGTTGCACTCTGACATTTAACTGTGATGTTTGTCTCAAGCACTCACAACTTATGCACATATTTCAGCAATTTTGAAAAGTCATTCCACGTGAAACGTGATAATACTGAGCAACAGAATGGGCAATTTTCTACAGGCAGTTCACTTTATTAGTTTTAATGAAGAAAGAACGAATATATTTGCAGGATAATATGAGTCTGTTTTATTCCATGGATTTCTTCAACTGCCTGCATCCCAAATAAATCAATTGTAAGTTACAAAATGATATCTGAAAATTACTTTTTAGAATGAATTCAGGCTATTGACAGAGAGTATAGGCGACATAATTCCGATGATGTAAGTAGAAAATCACTTGGATTTATAACAGTAACGTTTTATATAGTAAATAGAAAAGTGGATGGAGTTTAGATTTTGCTTGGAATTTAAGATGGATTACAGGCAAAATATAAGATTTAACAATATAGTGAATTTATACATATTATCACAGAAGGTTCAGAAGGGTGATGGTGGGTGAATTTCGAAGTAAAAACGCAAACGCAATCAAATAATTCAATTTATTAGACTTGAAAATTGATTGCAATATTACGCAACAGAACAAAATAATTACGGTTAGTGAGAGATCAGTCGTAGTATTTTTCTGTATGCATAAGTTATGTCAAAGTCTTTTGATGCCGATGATCTCTGCGAACCAAGGTAACCATGTTATTTTTGTGTATTTATTTTTTTAAAGCCTGGCCAATTCCCACTTTGCGTCCTGCGTCAGTTAGGTGTCTGACAACTGCGTTTAGGAACATTTTGTCGCCTTTCAAAAAGAAACCTTTTGGGATATGCTCGGAGAATCTAGTAGAGTCTCTCCTCTCTGCCCTAACTACATCCTTGCTGCCGCAAGTGCAGATGAATTTGTGAATGCTGTTGAAGTTGACAGGAGCAGAATACTTATCTACCTTTGTTAAATGAAATGAGTCTGGCGTCGGAAAATGTTCTTATTTAAGCATCTTTAATTACTTTTTCCCTTCCTATGGATACTTCTTCGCTTTAATACACTAGAAAGATAAAAACTAGTTTATTTTCAGCTATTTGGCGTTTCGGTCTAGGAGGCTATCCTCCCTCTATTTTTATATGAATTTCCGAGGGTATCTATTTTTGATAAGGTTCTTTTCTATGTCTTGATTTTATCTTCTGAACACAATGCCTTTTTACTTCTGGAGAACGCCTATGTCAATCAGTGTTTGAAGCCGTTTTGGCGAAGGTTGTGGTAATTCAAGTAATTATTAGCCTAGGTTTATTTCCTGAATGTGAAGAAATTGTATTATTATTTTGATTATCCCATCGAGGTGGAAGTGGGACATAGAATCACTGACTGAATCAGCATTAGTGATGATGATGATGATGCGAATCTTGTTCTTTTTGCTGAGTGAGGGATATTTCCACACTGAATTAAGGTAATAAAAAATATATCTGTCTTGATTTCTCGACTCTCTCTTTCCCATCATCATCTTGGCCACATGTAGTTTATACGATTCTCAAGTGATATTATTCAAACGCTTTCTGTGGGTGATTGACGCTTGTTGATTTTGGCAGGTGGACATATTTATCACCTCTGCCTTCAGTTTAACCACTTGAATTTGTTTCTTCCTTGCCTGCCTTTGTCGCCGAATTGATTTTCGTCCTAAATCTTCAATTTTGTATGATGCCAGACAGAATTCATCCACGAATTTTAAATATTCTGAAGTCTTCTTGCCGGTCCAACTTACTCATATCTGCTGACTACCCATTGTAAGCTCATGGTTCACCGAACCACAAAAGTGGGGATATCATCAGTGACCGTTGGCTGATTTTCTGTTACTAATATCATTGAAATTCGTTAATAAGTGCACTGAGGCTGGTAAACAATCGCATATGGAAATACTATATCCACTCCGCATATAGTTTCACGTGATTGTATCAATGTATATGGTTATGTGATTTTCACAAAAACTGCTCACGTGTCAGTAATACAAGATGTTGAGTCTAGAACGTCAGTAGTTTTTTGACCACATTTATACATAATAGATAAGATTATTTCAAATATCGCACTG